TGGCAGCGCTCGTGTCACCGTTATGTTCCCATTGTGTCTCCGACAGGTCTGCGGGGACGAGCTTCCCTCCGGCTGTGCAGCACGCGGGGGACTCTGCGGGGCATCAACAAGCGTGTCATAGACCGCATCATCCGGGTGGACCATGCCGGGGAGTACGGGGCGAACCGCATTTACGCGGGGCAGATGGCCGTGCTGGGCAGGTCGAGCGTGGGGCCGATTATCCAGGTAAGTGCCTAGGAACGAGTGCTGTGCCTTGTTTAATTTGCATTTGATTATCAGCGGTTGGATGAAGGTGAAATCGGTGAGGCTGTCCGTCTTTTTCTAGGTGGGTTTATAAAGGGAGGTTGGATTACTTGGTAAGGAAGTTCCCAATACTAGCCACCAGGCACACATGTAGACTGGTGAGAGACTGCAGAAACAGCATGTACCTTTGGGAGAAATTATTATTATTGCTATCTATAAGCACCGAGCTTTACTTTGTAAATAATAGCTTTAAATGTTATTTTGAAAATGCTGTTAGAAGCTGTTACAAGACTCTCAAAAATGGCCAACACTTGAGACTTGGATGTTAACCAAAACTACATATTTTAAAGGGACTTTATAAGGGTCTGGAGTGACAGGACAAGGGGGAATGGCTTTGAACTGACAGAGAGTAGGTTTAGATTAGATGTTAGGAAGAAATTCTTCACTGTGAGGTTGCGCTTTTGAAAATGCTGTTAGAAGCTGTTACAAGACTCTCAAAAATGGCCAACACTTGAGACTTGGATGTTAACCAAAACTACATATTTTAAAGGGACTTTATAAGGGTCTGGAGTGACAGGACAAGGGGGAATGGCTTTGAACTGACAGAGAGTAGGTTTAGATTAGATGTTAGGAAGAAATTCTTCACTGTGAGGTTGCGCAGGCACTGGCTTGTCCAGAGCTCTCAAAAATGGCCAACACTTGAGACTTGGATGTTAACCAAAACTACATATTTTAAAGGGACTTTATAAGGGTCTGGAGTGACAGGACAAGGGGGAATGGCTTTGAACTGACAGAGAGTAGGTTTAGATTAGATGTTAGGAAGAAATTCTTCACTGTGAGGTTGCGCAGGCACTGGCAGAGGTTGTCCAGAGAAGCTGTGGCTGCCCCATCCCTGGAAGTGTTCAAGGTGAGGTTGGATGGGGCTTGGAGCAACCTGGTCTAGTGGAAGGTGTCCCTGCCCATGGCTTGGGCTTGAAAGTAGATAAACTTTAAGGTCCCTTCTCACCCAAACCATTCTGTGATTCTGTGATTTCTACAGTTACTGTAGTGTTGTCACAGACACCTATGCTGAAAATGTTTTTATGTTGCCCTTTTATAACTCCTCATCTGCCCTTCATCACCATTTCTTCTCTGTGACATTATAGTGTTACCTCAGCAATCACAGTGTGTGTGGTCTGAGCTGTTTTGGTTTTCTTTGCATTCATTAGTTTTATTGGAAACGTTTAACTTTTGTGGGTTTATATTTCACTGTGATTTGTCTCTTTTGCAGGAAATGTGGAATCAAGAAAAAGACCACCTGAAAAAGTTCAATGAACTCATGGTTGCATACAGAGTTCGACCTACTGCTTTATTGCCTTTCTGGAATGTAGCAGGTTTTGTTTTAGGTGAGTTTGTATTCTTACTATTATTGTTGTGAAGTCTTCAAATGTGCAAATTATTTGTATTCCTTTAGATTTCATTGTTTTCATATATTTGGTACCACAATCACAGGGGCTGGAAGTGCTTTACTTGGAAAGAAAGGTGCAATGGCTTGCACAGTGGCAGTGGAAGAGAGTATATCAGACCACTACAACAACCAGATCCGAACTCTTATGGAAGAAGATCCAGAAAAATACAAAGAACTATTGCAGGTATTTAACTATGACTTAAAAAGTAGTTTAACCAAGTTATTATCTAATGTGACTTTAGTCTTTAAAATAACATGCTCAACTCTTTTTGTTCTATCACTTAGAACGCTGAAGTCAACAGAAACTTTTAGGATAAAAGGGGTTTTTTTTTCCTTCAGCAGCACTAAATTGATCAAGCCCCAGAACCAAAATGTGTGTTGGATTACCTTCAGCATGTTTGCAGTAATTCAGTGTTTCTCTTCTGGGTGGGAGAATTGTGCTCTAATTTTGACTAATTGTGAAAGGTCTAGAGGGGAAACAAAAGGAGGAAATATGTTTGCGTAGTAGCTTTGTTGCCCTCCTTTGAATGCATTCAAGTGCCTTCACATGCTCCTTGAACTGCAAGGCCCAGCAGTGCACACAGTGCTCTGGGGGAGGCCACACCAATGCTGCATGCAGCAGGATGATCCTCTCTCCTGCCTGGCTGCCCACGCTGGGTTTGCTGCACCCCAGGATGGGGTTTGCCCTCCTGGCTGCCTGGGCACAGTGCTGGCTCACACCAAGCCTGCTGCCAGCCAGCACCCTGCTCAGCTTCTAGTCCTGGGTGCTGCTCAGAGTGTGTAAGGAGCTGATGTTTGTTAGCTCTGTGAGAAAATAATTTCCCAAGCATTTCAGGCGTCAAGTCACACATTGATGTGTTTCCACACGCAGCACATCCAGCTTATTTCCAGCCTTGCTGACTGTCAGTGTGTTTGATTGTGCAGAGTTTAGTGTGTAGCAAAATCCGATCACACCAGATGTGTCTTCTTGTGACAAGATACAAGAGAAGAGTCTGTGACAGAAATAGTATCTGAAGTCTCCTTGGTGGTGCAGACGTGTGCAGGGGAGATACCACACCTGAAAATAACGAGAGGGCACAAAAGGAAGAGAGAAGGCTAAGCAGAGTTGACAGTGTCAGTGTGAGGAAGAACCAAGTGCAAATGCAAAGCTGTTGGGTAGGGACAGTGCTTGGGTGTCTGTAAGCAATGAGCACTTCACTAAGCAATCCTCGTTGTCTGCAGACATCTCAAGAGAAAACGCTTTAAACCTTTTTGTCCTAGTCAAAAAAAACTAAAGAGGAAAAAAAGTTCTTTAGAATATGCTTGAATGGACAGAAGCCCAGTTGGCTTACAGAGAAACACCCTTGCTGATTGGCAAGTCAGAGACCTTCACTTTGTTATTCAAGTTGTCAGAACAATGGGTATGTGTGAAACTAATCAGCATTACAAGTTATGACTATAGGGTTTTTTTTAAACAGTGAAAAAGAGAGTGATAGGTTAAACAGTAGCTTGGTCTTAAAAACATTTCTGGACGCTATTAAAAGAACTTCAGGTTTGGGGAATGCTGTACATAATTCCTTTCTTGCTGAATTGGAGATTCAAGTTGAGAAGTTTGTGAGATACCTCAGCTTGCCACGGTGCACACAATGGTAAACAGCATTTGTATTCTAGCTGCCTTGATTTCTCTGCAAAGCAGACTTATTAATTCCCTGCTGTTTCTACAGGTAATAAAGCAATTCCGGGATGATGAACGGGAGCACCATGACATTGGGCTTGAGCACGATGCAGAAGCTGTAAGTGCAGTGTTGACTAATTGGTGCTGGTAGTGAGGGTATAGATGTGCTGCTCTTGTCTTCATTACCTCGTGACTGGGATGTGAGTCTGTATTTTGAGA